ACCGAAAATGGCTTTCTGTGTTTACACAGAGATCACGTGACTATACACGTCCATACACACACTATCTTGTCGATTTCATATCCAGTGTGAAATAAGCTTTCCATCAATATATAGCTTTGTGTGGTTCAGTAAATATTTTATATGAAAACATCAGTTTAGAAAATCAATACCAAAAACTTGTAAAGCATCCTTAACTTAACCAATGGTGTGAACGATTTAAGGGTTTTACCAATTTTTAAGGTGAAAAATGATTATTTCACTCACTGCATGCTCAAAGTCATTAGACATTCCCATACTCAGCTCCACTGTGGCTTTATCCAACATAAATTTTTTGCAAATTTCTTCCCTGCATTGCACAAGTTGCTGGAAAAATAAATTCAAAATAAAACCAAAGTGAAAAGTCAAAATTAATTGCAGTATAAATTTGCATATAACAACTTAACCAGGTTTCCAGAATTGAAATACGAATTGGACATAGGCTATTTAGTTTATTGATTTCAGTTTCATGTGGTCATCAAATATATTTTTTCGGTCTCGTAATCATTTAGTAATCGTATAATCAATTATATACTTGGCAGGTAAAATGTTAGAAACTGTTGATTCAGATCAAGAACCAACTGTCAATGAGCCTGCAAGTAGCTAACGTAATTGGATAGATGTACCAGAAATCTGTAACCTTACACAATTAAGTAGTAGATGCCTTAACAAAAACACCTCAGAATGAGTTTCTGAAAAATTACACATGATGACTGTACTGAATAAATCGCAATCAGTAGATTTTTAGATGTTTATGAGTGAAAAAAGTTCTATTTTAATGGACTTTAGGATTTTGCTTTAGATTACAAGTAATAGTTACTGCTCCCAAAACCTCGTTTACAAGTGTATTCTATGCATTTTGCAATACACACATTGAATGACTGAGCATGCAGAGATCATAGTCACCTGGAAATCTGGATTTGGTCCTTGACTTAATTCATGATTGACCCTACCAATAGTCATTAAACCATTAAATTCTAAATTGGAACAGCTTAGTAGAATATGACCAGCTAAACTCTCAGCATCACATAATTTGCACCCATGTTTACCTACAAATAATACATCACAAACAGTTTAATATCACAATGTGAACTATGATTGATTAATGATTTGAGTTATGATTTTTGGGCAGACCATTAGGCAAAAAAATAGTTACTGTAGAATACTTTATTTTCGCTTGGAATTTATTTTCGCTAAAGGGAAGATTCCGTGAAAATAAAATCCAGCGAATATACTTTTTGTCCTATATTTCACATTAAAATCCTCAAAAATCAGTGAAAATAAATTCCATACAAAAGGCCCAAAAAGCCTTTTCGGCGAAAATTAATTCCAGCGAAAATAAAGTATTCCACAGTATGATCTAAAAATTGGCCAAAGTGAGGTTAGCATATGTGTATTAAACTTGAATGTCTGTAAGGCAAACATTACTCACTGGCTTCATTGCTGGTATTGACTTGCACCATTACTTTAAGTTTACCTACTTTCTTCTTTCTACCCCAGGCTGCATTCAGTACGTCAGCTAGCTTCGGGGTGTCAAGACTCTCAACCATAAATAAATTAGGAATACCTGAGATGAAGAAGCAGTTTTTAAGTGTCACTCACGTAGTATGAGCATATGAAACATATACAACTGTGATCAATGCCGTTTTTTGTTCAGGCTTTATAAACATTTCACATTTGAACAATCAGTCCAAGCCATTATAAGTACTGGTACATGTAAATGCTTCAATCTTACCAATAATTTTATTCACTTTGTTTCGTTGTAAATGTCCAACATAGTGCCATCTAATATCACAACATTCATTGATTATGGTAGGATCAGTCGCTTTTTCAATAATTTCATGCACCTGAATAAATGAATATACAATTCAAGCATGTAACCAAATGAGAATGTTGTGTCAATGCTACCGTGTTCACATGTGTGCCAACAGAGACTAACTTGTAACAATCGTTATCAGTGGTTTAATTGGTCCTGTGTTCATACATGTATACAGACTAAACTAAGTTTCTTTGAAATACTTGCAATGAATGCAACCCCAGAGCGAGGCTGACATTGAGGATGTGCTTTTCAGGCAGCTTTATTGTTCACAAGTGCTAAAGCTGTTTCTGTAAGAACAGGGTGCCGGTCGAGACTTGCCATTTTAAGGTGACTAAAACTAAATCGGCATGGAGCCGGCTTATTGTGTTCACATGTGTTCAATGCTGACTTCACTATAAAGCAGGCCTCCATTTTGGCACACGTGTGAACACGGTATACATATAAATCAATATTGTTAATCAAATATTGGCAACAATGATTTTATTATAAAATAAAAAGTGACTTACATAATTTTCACCAAAGTGTCTTTGTCCATGTATGTAAGCTGTTTGGATTGTAGAGATCGCTTTGGTTTTACTCACAGCAACAAGTCGTGGCTGTACTTTGGGCAAGTCCTGAAATTTGTTGCATTTAGATTTCTTTATATATGGAGGTATAATGAGTAGAACACTGAATAGATTTTAGACATCAAATAAAGTACATTATTTCAGAACAATTGAGCTTTTTTGTCTATTTTAATATTATGGTAAGTCAAATGGTCGGTTTGGTGATTATTGATATAGCTGTTAGCCAACATTACTGAAAAATCATAGTAACAGAAGAGCAGTGCAATAAATAAAAACATTGGATGGGTCATGGTACAATAGCATATATCTGTTTGCCATGTGTGTGAATTACTTGTTCTGGTTTGTGGCAACAAGCTAGGAAGCAAACATCGGCGTCCATCTCTAGAATGCTTATGGTTTCAGATGTTGAAATATTTGTAAGAAGTAGCCAAAATCATTTTAAAAGATTTTAGTTATTCTCATTTTGTGCGAAGTTCTAGTTTGAAATCAAGACAAGTGGTGACCCTAACGTTTCATTTAAAGGGTAAAAATCCTTTCACATAGCTGAGCATCTTTTAAACCTAGAAGCATTTCCCTCTGACCGTAAATTTTGAGATGTGTTCAAAAATATATTTAACAAATCTTGTGTACAGTTTAGACCCAAAGAAAATCAAAGAAAGTTTAGAAAGAACTCCCATGTGCTGAGAGTATTGGAGACACATTAAATATAATTTGAAATTACCTAGCTGAAAACTAATTATGCAAATCAGAAAATTAATATGAACTGATTGAGTGTATAACTAATGAGGTCTGCGCAATGTAACAGTTTAATGTTTCCAAGTTTAATTGAAATGTGATTAGAACCAAAAAATTATGAATTACAGTAAAACCTGTCAAAACCGACCATGACTGGGACTGGGATCTATGGTCGGTTTTCAGAGGGAGTCGGTTTATTCAGGGTGGGCGTGACTTTGATTGAAACAACAATTACATGTGCTATAAACACGGGACAAATGAAAGACATCGGAGTTTGTCTCCGGTGATTCTACATGTATTTACAATGTGCATTTATTGTATTGTTTCAATAAAATAATTTACCAAACAAGACAAAAATATTATGGTATGTACAAAATGTACATGACATCAATTAACATTAAAATAACTATTCGAACAGACCGGGTAAGTATTGCGTATCGTAACTGAAGGCGTCCATTTTGGATGACATCACTACGTAAGTTCACGTGAGCTACATGTAATTATCATAATTTATGCAGACAGTCGATTTTGCTGTTAAGTCAATCACAGTCCCTCACTGTGAGTCAATGAATCAAATTATGATGTAAAAAATCATCAAGTTTTGACTACTTTAAAGAA